CTAGATCATCCCCTATTTCAGGGACTAATACTCATATTTTTCTACCTCTGAATTCTGAACCTATGATGAAAACACTCATTAGAAAATCTTCAAGGCCTCATAATCCACCTTCATATTTTAAAGGTTATAACTGCAATGCACTCAAGCTCACAGATGTAAGTAATTCTTGTTTCCTCACTCCGGTAACACCAAATTCACTATATTTTAATGGACTTTCTTCTAATAATCAACATATGCTCAATTCTCTATCTAATGTTCAAGAACAAATTAGTTATAGTGAGGTTGCACACCAACCAGGATGACAGGAGGCTATGGCAAGGGAGATTGAGGCTCTTGAGCTCAGCAAAACTTGGGAGGTAGTTGAACTACCACTTGGTAGGAAAGCTTTGCCATGCAAATGGGTATACAAAGTTAAACAACGTTCAGATGGAAGTGTACAATGATTGAAAGCAAGGCTAGTCATTAAAGGAGACATATAAAAGGAAAGAGTGGACTTTACTGAAACTTTTTCACCGATGGTCAAAATGACCACCATCAGGTGTATACTTGCTACAGGAGTAAAAAGAGGTTGGGGTTTGTATCAGTTAGATGTGGATAATGCATTTCTACATGGAGATTTGCAAGAGGAAGTCTATATGAAATTCCCAGCAGGAGTTATCCCACCATCTTCTACACATGTCTGCAAATTGAAAAAGTCACTTTATGGACTTCGTCAAGCTTCATGACAGTGGTATTCTAAGCTCACCAATGCCCTAAATTTTAAGGGTTTCACTCACTCATTAAATGACTATTCCTTGTTCTTTAAAAAGTCAAATTCCTCTATCTCTATTGTAGCTGTCTATGTCGATGATATATTACTAACAGATAATGATACAGCAGAATTACAAGCACTAAAAGATTTTCTTCATCAAGAATTTAAAATCAAGGATCTTGGGGACCTGCATTTTTTTCTGGCCATGGAGGTGATCCGCGAACCTCAGGGGTTGATCCTTTCACAAAGGAAGTTTACCTTTGATCTTCTCAAGGAATTTGATGCAATGAAACTGGTTCCTATTTCTTCTCCACTTGATCCAACATCTAGGCTTCTTTCTAAGATAGGGGATCCGGTAAAAGACCCTACTTTATATCGTCATTTACTTGGTAAACTGAATTACCTAATACATACCAGACCAGATTTATCTTTCACGGTCCAGCACTTGAGCCAATACATGCAGGACCCGAGGAAACCCCATCTAGATGCTGCCTATCGCGTGCTTCGATATTTGTTGAAGGATCCTGGATTTGGTCTTTTTATGTCATTTTCATCCTCTTTTCAGCTCTTGGCATTTTGTGATTCGGATTGGGCGACTTGCCCGGATTCGCGCAAATCAGTAAACGGATTTTATATCTCACTTGGAGCTTCGCCGATTTCATGGAAATCTAATAAACAAACCTTAATTTCTCTAAGTTCTGCTGAGGCTGAATATCGCTCAATGCGACGAGTGGTTGCAGAACTTACTTGGCTGGTCCGTCCTTTGAAGATCTATCTATTCCCGTAACCCTTCCGGTTCCTTTACACTCAGATAGCCAAGCAGCAATACATATAGCTAAAAACCCCGTATTTCATGAACGGACGAAACACGTTGAGTTGGATTGCCATTTTGTCCGACAACAATTCTTATCTAGTTTGATTTCCCTCTCTTTTGTTCGATCTTCGTCTCAACTGGCGGATCTCTTCACAAAATCGCTCCCAGGACCTCGTCATCATAATCTCTTGGGCAATTTGGGGGTGATTTCTTCCCTCTCCAACTTGAGGGGGGGTGTTGGTCCCAAGATAATGGACAATAAAGTAGCTAGGGACAAACAAAAGTAGCTAGCTTTTATGTTTTTGATATTGTTGTCTGCAAGTGCCAAATACACGTTTATGTGTATTAGGTAAAGAAAAAGTATACTTTTCTATTAAACAATAGCCTTAAGATAATTGCTTGAGTTTCCTTTCTCTGCATAAAAGGAGGCTTATTGTATATACACGAGATATAGAAGAAACATTGTTTTGGTATTCACATTCTCTTCACCCTACCGTTATTAAACTTATCACAAATACCCCTAACTCTAACGGAACCTCCATCAGCACCAACTGCCACCTCTAATCTTCTTCTCCATAAGCCAATAACTTCCTTCTTCACTTCAACTTCATATTTCAACCCATATATTTAGCTAAAAAAATACTAATTACTATGAATTCAGTCCAAATAAGAAGCTAAACTCTCAAAAAGTTATAAAGTATCCAAAACCTTTTTAACCCAAATTATAAAAGATCAATGCACACCACCAAATTCGCAAAACACCCATAAAAAATTTATGCAAGATAAACAAAATAGAATATTAATGAACATTAAAGAATGTTACTAATTTTTTTCTCATATTCAAGAGAGAAATGAAATTGCAGGAAATTATAGTGAATATGGTATCGTTCACCGTTTGTTTCTAATTCTTTCAATATTTCTTGTGCTACAAAATTTGTACAGTTTAATTGCTTCAAAGTATCAAATTTTGCGAAAATTTGATTTGAATTGGATTCAAATTCAGAGTTTATTCAAAGGGATTTTTACCTAGTTATACTATATTAGAAATTTAGTTACCTATATTCTCTATATTTTGCAGTTTTTAATAAATATCTAGGTTTTTTTTTACAAATTATGCAGATTGCTCCTTAAAAGGCTCACACCCCATTATTAGTGCCTTCAATTAAGGGATTCAATTACATACTTTCTTTTTTTTCCTCGTCTCTTCTCTCTCCTCTTTTTTTACACCAAAATCCCTTAATCTAGGCCAGAATCTCCATCTTATCTCTTCCCACCATTCCCGACAGCTTTATATTATTAAAAAATCATCAATATTAGACAACATTGAAAATGAAGAAATATTCAGGAATTATATGATAATTGTATCATAATTGTATTTGAATTTTATCAGATACATCAATGCCTAAAACATACTTGTATCACAATGGTATCTATATGGTACATTAATACCCAAAATAATACCTAATACAAT